CCTGCTGAAACTTAGCAGGAAGCAGAGCTGAGAATGACAAGAAACTCATTTGTATAGCTGGACAAGAAATTATACTGATTCTTGTCAGAATTAATACTAAAGATGAATCTGGCTCTGAATTCTGGACCTGAACATCTACCAGCTACCTGTGCAGCTGAAATTTGGATCCAAATTTGGCAAATGGCCATTAAATCATGTAAATCATGAAAGGCTGAACCAAAAGTCCAGTTCAGGATGTTGTATGGGGTGATTCAGCACATCTTTCTCCTGCAGGGAATGTTTTCTGCCCGTCTCTAATAAAATCTGTAATTACCAGTCTGATGGATGCACCTCTTTCCCAGTGCTGATAATTGCCCTTTAAGGCAAAATCCTATCAGAGAAGATGCCTGTATCATTAGCAGAGTTGTCTGGCATTAGGCTTGAAGCTGGGGCCTCAAAGCATTGTTATTATTAACTCTGCAACCCTACTATGCAAAATTTGCTTGTCTGAAAATGAGCTTTAGCACTTCTAAGATCAGACTTTGAAATGATCGTCCATATGTTGTAAAGAAGACATACATTTGCTATGTAAATCAAACGCATTATCAGGGCTCCTGGGTCTAGAAATATCAACAGAAGTATTGGTTTTGCTTCTGAATTTCTTTAGCAAAAGCAGAAGTTCCTGGGTGCCAGCAACCAGAGGATTGCATCACTTAGTGATGGGGGTAGTATACTAGGTATATATCACATAGGGCAGGTAAGAAAGCACTGTCCTGGAGTCTGAAAAGTCATTGGGACCAACATACCCTGTCAGGACCTTTATAAACTGTAGAATGGCCAGAACAGCTAATGAACAAGAGGGGACAAAGATTTTCCATTGGTATGACTGGTCTTTCTCTTTTTTTAAACCTCATGCAGGTTTACCACCTCCAAGCTAGTCATGTCTTCACTTGTAATCTTGTGTTCTCTAGGTAACTTTGGAAATATTACTGATGGGGTGTCAGCAGGAGCTGGAGGGAAAAAGAAGACACGTGGTGGAGAAGAGGAAGAAAGTCTGCTGCGTGAGGGGGAGGAAGAAATTTCTCATGACCTTGGAGTACCCCTGATACCCACCACACCCCCTGAGAAGCCACTGATCACAGATGGGAACAGGTGAGGATCTGTGTTTCAAAACCTTATCATGCAGGACTCTGGTTTCTATTTTATAATCATGTGGGACTCATTAATAAACCCTGGCAGCATTAAACAGGTTGTGTGGAACTGAGGCTTTCGAATCCTCAATTACATCTTTCACAACAGTAAATTTTCTAGGCTCCACTGAAGTGAATGGGCTCTGACCCATTTTATGCTCATCTTCTGATCTTGGCCTCATGGGCTCTTGAACTTCTGGTGTTTCTAAAGTGGCCGCGTTATACCAACTATACATTGGAAAGCTATAGGAAAGTGCAACTCCTTCAGTGTTATCTCTGGTTTAGGGTCCCATAATCTGATCACAAATAACATCCACCCAGTGACCAGCTCCAGAAGCAGAATAACACATCAAAAATATTGAAATCTTGTCAAGACAAAGTCAGCTTCCCAGAACACTTTCCAGAGCTAGTAATTATAGATGTAATCTTTAATAGCAAGTAGTAACAGAAGTGGGAGGAAATAGTCCTTGAAAAAAAAAATGGAGCAATGGATGAAAACATGCAGAACAGTTCTTCTAAATGGCCTTGTTTATAAACAGAAATGTAAAGATTCAATTCATTTCAAAGATGCTAATAAAAAGAAATATATTCTTTGTTGCTTTGGTAGGTAGAATGATCCCTGATATTGCTGAGTGCCAAGATCAGATGGTACCTCTTTCTTTAGGCCAGGCACTGCCAAGGAATTTCCAGATATAAGGACCAGGTTGGAAATATCAGCCTGGATCTGTTTGGTTTCTGGACCTCCCTAAAGTTAAAAAGTACTTTCATCCTTTCTTGCAATCAATGGCTCAGTCAAATTAAATAAGAGCTAGTGGAAGAAAACAAGAATGAAAATACCGCAGTAGGAATTTTTCTTATAAAGAGAAAGGGGAAAAAACCAATTTTTGACAGAAAGATAGTTGCCTCTCCTTATTAACAGGACTGCAGATTTGGGTACATGCTGGGTTATTATCCTCCCTGAGAGACTGTGGGATTTTTAGTTTTTCCCTTAACAAGAATTTAGATTTATAGAACTGTTGTAAAAGAATGAATCATTCTTCAAATCTGCTATTTGCTTCTTGGCTCACTCCAATATTAACAAAGTTTTCTCTCATTAAAGATCCCTTTTCCTCAGATTTATGTAAAATGCTGCATCTTTTTTTCCCTCCTGTGCTATCTAAAAAAGTTTGGCCAGCCACAGATACCAACTAATGACTTTATGACTGTCATCTCATATTGGCGTCTTACTGGTCTCATCACTGGATATTTTTAGTATTAATCAGTACTTAATGGGATATCCAATAGTTTAGATGAACTCTGCATTTTAGAATCATAAATGAACAATAGAAAACAGTAACAAGAGTCCATTTTGGAGATTAAAACCACTAACTAATTAAAGGAGCAGGTAGAGCAATAAGACTTCTAAAGCAGACACTGTGAAATTGCCAGGAATTTCCCACATTTATGTCAAAATTCATAACAAGGATAAGCTAACACTGAAAAAGTGGCTCCCCCAAATTCTCATAGAGGGAATAATAGACATGAAAGCTCAGTCTTCCATATGAATTATTTCATGGCTATATAATTTTCTTAGTAAATCCCATGAAAAGACTCATAATGTCTATGAATTTTAGGTTAAGATGTTCTGGCATTGGGAGATAGTTGAATTGTTTTTCCCTCTTATGAAACCACTGAAATTAATGATTGCCTGAGACCTGTGTGGCTCTGCTATGCACTGAATTCAATGGGTAATGCTCACCTTGCTGTAGGTTATTGAGGAATGGGTAATTCTATTTCTCTTTTGATATCCCATAGGGCAGTAAAAAGAACTTGTAGAGAAGACCTTCATCTTTTTAAACAGAAAAATTCTCACATAAACCTATTAGGGATGTGTAGAAATCAGGAGTTATGGATAGGACGCTCAAGAACAACAAGTGATTTGGTTTCTGTGGGCTTGGCTTAGTGGTTAAACACAGGTGCCCAGTTCTATCTGAAATGACTTACAGTGTCTGAGGCATCCTTACAAGCAAACATGAGAGACCCAGCCCCTTCTGGGCCCACAGGTGGATGCCCATGCTTAGGCAACTCAGCTTATTTGGGCTCTGGATTTCAGGAGCTGATGATCAGGACTTTCTAAAAATTTGGCTGTGCTCAGATAGAGAGACCTTGAAATGGAGGAAGTCAAGTCTCCTCTTCATACCAAGTGTACTCTCCTTTCTTGGATACCACAGCCTCTCCCAGAGGAGAGGAAATGGAAAATGCAACCATTTTTTCTACCAGTTGTTGAAAATCATGAAGAGCAGGAGACTTTGGTAGTTTTATTCTTTATTATTTAGAGAATTAGTTTCTGTGGAGAAATACTGAAGGGTCACAAGGCAAGTTGTGTTGGTTTTGACTGGGATAGAGTTAATTTTCTCCATAGTAGCTAGTATGGGGCTACATTTTGGATTTGTGCTGGAAACAGTGTTGATGACACAGGGAAGTTTTCATTACTGCTGAGCAGTGCTTATACCAAGTCAAGGACTTTTCTGCTTCTCCCACCACCCCACCAGCGAGCAGGCTGGGGGTGCACAAGAAGCTGGGAGGGGACACAGCCGGGACAGCTGACCCCAACCGACCAAAGGGATATCCCATACCATAGGACATCATGCTCAGCATATAAAGCTGGGGGAAGAAGAAGGAAGCGGGGGGACATTTAGGGTGATGGCGTTTGTCTTCCCAAGTAACTGTTACGCGTGATGGAGCCCTGCTTTCCTGGAGATGGCTGAACACCTGCCTGCCCATGGGAAGTGGTGAATGAATTCCTTGTTTTGCTTTGCTTGCACACAGGGCTTTTGCTTTACCTGTTAAACTGTCTTTATCTCAACCCATGAGTTTTCTCACTTTTACTCTTCCGAGTCTCTCCCCCATCCCACTGGGGAGGAGTGAATGAGCGGCTGTGTGGGGCTTAGTTGCTGGCCGGGGTTAAACCACAACATGAGTATACACCAGAAAATAGCTCTCCAGTACAGCCTTTTCTCAGCTGCAGAGCACATATTGGTGGCATTGGGTTAGAGTCATTCCCAGAAGAATGTAAAGCAGTTTATAGAGCTTCATATCCATTAAAAAGCTCTCCACTGTCCCATCATTAGTAAGGAAAATGATGAGACCTCTAGTGTTAAATCCAGTATGGCTGAGCATGGTGTTTCATAGGGCTATAGTATTTCTATAAAGGGAGGACAACATGCTTATCAGGTACATGGTTTTGACATAGTGCCTACCAGAACTCTAATCAAAACATCAGGCTTTGTGGCAGGTGTGCATTAAAGTCTGCAGAGCCTCTGGTTATGCTGGCATCTTTCTCATTTTTTTTCAGTACAAGACATGAATACAGCTGAACACCCAAAGAAATCAGCATTACAAAAAGAATCAATATGGGAACTTGGACTTAAGATAAAAAGTGAGAAAAGAGAGAGCAGCAGATGCATTTTATCACTGAGTTGTTATGGGTTTGGTATCACTTTTACTAAGCAGGATCCTGCAGATCAGCTTCTGCAAAGGAATGTCAATCTCCACTAACTATTGCTTTTGAAAAAAAGCATCTTGTGAAAGTAATGTCATGGTGAGGCTCTGCCATGCCTCTACTGCTGTGCAGTGTGTGGAGCCATTCCTCTTGAAGAGGTGATCAGATTTTAATCCTTGCTCCTTTTTCCCTTGTTGCTTCTCACCATTAACAGTATTTCAGAGCTTCTTTGCATGCCTCTTTGCCTGGCTTTTCTCCCACCCTGGAAAGCACTGAAATTAGATCCAAGACTTCAAGATTTTTCTATTCAGGGATCTCACAGGTAGCATAAGTGATGTTTGTGTTTGTTCTTCCCAGTATTTACTGGTTAGCACATGTGAACACATCCTGTCGTGTCTTTGGTTTCTGTGCTGTGAGAGAGCACCAAACAGTTTTTCTTTCCCGTGCCTCACCCTGAACTCCTCTCTCACCTTTATGATCTGCTCTGTACTTTGTTTCACAGGAACTACCAGTACCTGCCGTACCACGAGAGGAAGCCCTGTATCTGTGTCAAGAGCTACTGGGGAGACCAGACCTTTCGTCTGTACTCTTCCAACACTCTTGAGAAAATGGCGGATCACCTGGTGAGTGGCAACCATCCTCCCAGGCTCATGTATTCAGCAGAGTATGGCAGTGAGAGGTCACGTTCCCCAAAACAGGCCTTCAAAGTTTCCCCTGACTGCATTCCTTGCTGTTCATTTTGTGAAAGAGTAGCTGATATCAGCCCCTTCTCTTCTTTTTTTCCAAATTGCTTTGATCTATTAAAGCTAGTCACGTATTCCTGTCCACAACGGGTTTTTTGGCCATAGGGCTGTCTTCTTTTTTCAGAAGCGTTTTATTCTTTGTAAGAACAGTCAAACAATTAAAATATGAGATATAGAATAATTCTGTCTCCTATGGCTCTTCCTCTGGTGTCTTCTTGCCCAGACCACATGGTTTAACCTGTGTTTATGCTGGAGACTCTTTAAAGGACACTTTTTGGTTTTAGTTTTTCTATTGATAGAGACAAAATGGTATATCATCTCATGGGCAGTCACTGTGATGCCGTAGTCATAGTGTTTTCCCATAATGATGTTTTTTTCTACCCCTGTTTAAAGTTGACTATCAACAATCTCAAGAAAGTAGTAGTATTTTTTTTTAAAGTGACTTCTAATGTTGAATATTTTAATTTGAGGCACTCAGATTAAGAGTCTGATTCATCCCTCATTTATCCTTATATACCTCATGAGCAACAACACCAAGGTTATACTCATGCAAGGTTGTATCATGCGAAGACAGTGGCTTATAGGCCAACATTTCGAACCCAGGTATTTGAAAATTCAACATCTGAATATATATATGGAGAGATATGTTTGTCAGTGTACCTGAACACCCCCAGGCCTTGCTGGAAATCCAGCCATTTATTTTAGTTTGTAAGAACAGTCTCCATTTCTCAATGATAGCAGTAGGTGTTGCGGTAGACCTTGCATATGGATTCAGGTGACAACTAAAGTTTAAGAAGTTAACTCCAGCAACTTGCTAAATTTAAGAAACAGGGCTGGAAACAGAACCAAACAGTTTTTCCTCCTACCTAGTGGAGAATGTTTCCCACTGACTGATCTTCACCAAAGAAGTGAGAAAACAAAGATGCTCCAAGCAGTAGTAGCTTGGACTAGTAGTTGGAGAGACTGGGGAAAGGTCAGAATAAATCATGCTGTCAGAGTCTTCTCTCTGCACACTTCAAGCGTAGTGATATATCAAAGGTCCTGTTCTGTCAGGTTACAAAGTCGCCTCCCTCATGCTTGCTAGTCATACAGTGAATAATGGTGTTATAACATTGGCAGAATGACAAAGTGCCCTCCTTTACATAATGGCTTTTTCATGTGTTTTTCGTAGGAAGAATCATTAGAGCAAGTAAAGGACTTGATCAAGGTTTCAGGAATTGCATCTGAGGAGAAAATGAGGATGACCCTGAATGATTTTATAAATCAAAGCAGGTAACCACATTTACTAGAAGCAATCAGAAAATCAACTTTATATGTTGGCTACAAATTCGAGGCTAGAAAAGGAAACTGATGATAATAAAAAAAAGTACAGTAAACATACTGAGATATATATTTTATTTATTCTGCTATAAAAGCAAAGGCCTTCCCAAATTGCAGTTTCTATTTATACAGAGAAAATATTTTCTTGTTATTTTCAATATTCAGTATTGACAGTAGACTACTGGCAATGATTGTCATATTATTTTGGCTTTCTGGACTCCAAGAATAGAATGTATATGGGATAAGTAGGTGTCCTGGTTTCAGCAGGGATAGAGTTAATTTCCTTCCCAGTAGCTGGTACAGTGCTGTGTTTTGGATGTAGTATGAGAATAATGTTGATAACACACCCATGATTTAGTTGTTACTGGGTAGTGCTTACACTAGTCAAGGACTTTTCATCTTCCCATGCTCTACCGACTGAGAAGGCTGGAGGTGCACAGGGAGCCAGGAGGGGGCACAACCAGGACAGCTGACCTAAACTGGCCAAAGGGGTATCCCATACCATGTGACGTCATGCTCAGTACATCAACTGGGGGAAAGCTGGCCGGGGGGACTGGCTGGGCATCAGTTGGTGGGTGGTGAGCACTTGCATCGTGCATCACTTGCTTTTTATATTCTATTATTATTATTATTATTATTATTATTATATTTCAATTATTAAACTGTTCTTATCTCAACCCATGAGTTTTCTCGCTTTTACTTTTCCGATTCTCTCCCCCATCCCACT